TGCTTGGTATTTAAGTTTAATGGCACATTTAGGTTTGGGGAATAAGAAAGGTGTTGAACAAGATATTGAGCACATTAGACATTTGGGTATGCAAAAAAAAGCATTCAATGTTATTCATGACTATGTAAACAAAGTTGAGGACTTTGATGTGGAATGGTTTCAACTTCTTGTGAATAGTTATCCTTGTTATGCAATGTATACATTAGGTGATATCAATCAATGGCAATCACTGTGTAATCATCAGTATGGAACAGATGACTATACCAGATGGTACAATACTGCTGCAAATTGGTATAATACGAATAACAATACTTGGCGTTATCGTACGCGTATAATAATAAACGCGTTTTTTGAAAAAGTTTATTACATGCACAAAAGTAAGGGGTTGGTAATGATTACATAATTATATTATTATGCATACTAATTACTATTATTATTAGGTCATTTGACATTTCGCATTTGAAAGTCATGTTGATGATATCAGTAGATGTAAAGTGTAAGTAATTATAGTAACTATTTTGTTATGCTGTACTACTACTAACATCTATTGTTTAATAGTGTCTGTGATGATTATAGTAATAGATGTTTGTCCCTTCATGACCATAATAAAGTAAGTGTATAATAATTATTATTATTTATCAACGTTTGTATATGTTGTGAATGTTAACCAATAAACAATTATATATTAGGTAACAATACCTATATTTAAAGTACCTCCAAATAAATACAAACTCAGCATTTTGTTGGCAAATAGTTATTGGGATAAGTCAGCGGCAATTACAATGGAAGTAAGTAGCGAATAAAAATTGTTGATTGTAATAGTTTCATTGTATGTATTAATATAAAATATTTTGATTTGTAGACAACAATAAAAACATCGACTGAAGAAATACAATATAAGGCGGACATTAGAAATGACTACTTCGGTGAATGCATTTTACCATGTGCGGTTAATGTTTTGTCTGAAGATAACATTATTATAAACATTGCTTTTAATGTAAGTATGGTTTATTTATTCATTGACACGTATTTAATTATTCTAACTCGTAACACTATTTTAGTCAACAACCAATCTTTATTGGGTTTGTTTGTATTCGGAAGAAAAGATTTTGGAACGTAACTTGAAAATTCAAACTGGTGTAAAAATGATTAAGTATAAGCAATTTTGTTGTCCTACTGAAAAATATGCGATATATTAACGCGACGCGAATATTGTTGTTAAGCGAGCATACGTTATTATTACTATATTATTCGTTTACTAACACGCACACGTGACATTGTTATTGATATGAAATTATCCTCTTTTTGTCGAACGCTATTCAGATTATAGTTTGGATTATTGATTCTATTCATGCATTAGTCAATAATAGTTGACTTTTAGGAATAAATGATAATTTATTGACATACTTAATATTAGCACTTCACCTGCCTAATATCTATTTAAATAAAAATTAACGCACATTTTTTTATCGCTTTAATTGAGTAATAACCGCGTTGTCGTCTCGAAACTAATTCATAACGTTCGTGCCATTTACAATGATCCTAAGTACACAATGACATGTATCACGTAAAATATAGTATAGTACTAAGCTTTGGATAAAAGATAGAAATGGTTTAATACGGGTTATTAACAACCTTGTGCCTTGCTTTGTCAGAAGAACACACGAGTTGCTGGCGAAAATCGCACGCACAATTACTACTTATGTAATGCAAAATTGTGTTTTCAAGTACTTTTACGAGCTCGACGCAAATTGTTACGCTCTCTTCCAAGTGTCAACTGCTACCGCTTGCCATATACCCAAGGTGCGGACTTTTTAAACAAATCTTTCAGTTGCTTGAATTCTGTCAGTATTTCATGGTAATCGGCAAATCCGTAAAACGTCAACTGGGTTAAGACGAATATTAATACAGTATAGTTTGTTAGTCTCGCAATTTAAACCGCTTTTTTATTCACACTGTTGATACGCTCATTTATTAAAACAGTATTGGACATACATGAGAAAAGATTATTCTAAAATTTACGGTACTTCAATAAAACAAATTTGCAAAAATCGGATAGAAAAGCCTCATGAATTAAACTTAAATATTGATCTCGCCGCCTGAGTAACGAGCAGGTTTATCAACATTGATTCTCATCCCCATTACCACGGTTTACTCACATTCATTATACATTACGCAACAACTCTCCTTCCTTAATGTGGTTTGTCTTGTCAAACTGTCTGCGTTATTTGTATTCTATTAATTCTATAATGATAATTATCTATATTAACCGAAAACCTAAGGTATATAACAAGATGGGGGGTAGTAACCGAAATTTAACTATAATAAAAAAGCTACTCTATATCACCTACTATCTCTGCTAGTGTCTCGATTCGGCTCTCGACTCGCCACCCCATTTGTAACTCCACCCGCCACCCCGTTCATCACTCCATCCGCCATTACACTCTTTCCACTTTCGCTCGTACACTTCGTACTTTTCCTCTTCACCTGAAACACTTCATATTCTTCAACGCTAAACGTCTCTACATTTGAAAATATTGCCGATGCATAGCTTTCAGGTCGACAATAGCAACTCGATTCGTCTCTGAAATGCCCATGCAAACACAAATCAGTCATTCCAAAATCCGGCCCGCAGTCGCTATGCCATCCGACCGCATGCTCCTTGTTTCTCACACGAGATATCTTGCCAGTCCCATTATTGTCAGACAGTTTGAATAGGAAGCTGTCTGTTGTGCTCTGATATCCACCATCGTCGCGCCAACCTATAGGATTGTACCCGCCGATGAGATCGTTGGAATGGGCTGGTTTGATGAGTATCACTGTTGGTCCTTTAGCATCGCAGAGTTCATGGAATGTCTTTGGCGTAAAGCCGGACACAGACCCCCTCAGAAGAAGCTTGAAGAAATACTGGTTCTGTTTGAAGTAGTATTGATCTCGACCTTTGCGATCTATCCAAGAAGCGATAACATCAACATGTTTCCATGTAATGAGGTTAGAATCGATACCGGTACGCGGAGGAAGGACATTTAGTGATAAAGGACTGCTAGGGATGAATTGTCTTTTTAGAATGGCTTGGTATAGCTCCCTTGGAAGAATCTTTTTATATGGCTTAACTTGATTATAAAAGTCTTCGGGGCGGATCGTATCCACTCTTACCAATGGTAGGCAACGCTTTAATATAGATTTCAAAACTTGAAAGTCTTCATCTACCCATTTGTTCGGGTCGGTCACCAAAGTCTCGCTCATTCGTGCTTTACCCCACGCAATGACGTGATTCCATATATCCACTTCGTCCAACACCAGATCGTTGCGTTCGAGAACAGATATCAAGGTGTCTTCGTCGGCCGTGAGATAATCACCCGTCTTGAAGAGAATTGCCGGATCGTCCAATAACGTCTCTGAACAATAGGCAAAGAGTTCTTTGAATGCCGAGTTTGCCGAGGATACTCGATGGAGCTGAATAAAGTTTGACCGAATCCATGGTTCCCATTCTTGTAAGAGATGCATTTGAACTGGCTTGATTAGTTCTTCGAGTTGCATTTCGTCGGCTGCTAGGAGAAGTTCAAGAACTTCTTTTCCTGTTTCCAATTTACAAGATAATACACCACCGTAAATATACCTAACAAAAGAAAAAGGGAATAGAAAAAGAAACCAAACAAATTTGAGCTCATCGGAGAAAACAAGGCGGAAAACGAATTTTGACGTATTAACGAAAAGTCATTCTACAGCTGTAAAACAACTGTAAAATTTGTGAAACATCCCCTAAAAACAGCTTCTCATCCCACTCTCCGCCAACAGTCCACTCTTCCACTCACCCACCTCAAAATAACCTGAAATATCTTTGGAGATATGTTTTCTTTTTTGAAAATTATGGATCCCTCTTCAGTTTTAGCCCAATCTTTTGATAAGGCAGCATGAAAATAGGCCGATCTTGCACGAAGGATTACAGAGTGAGCGTTAAACGTCCGAGCGTTCCCGTCCACACCTATAAGCATGCGCACATTATAGTCGTCTGCGGAATCCAACAGCCGGGAAAGATCCGTCGAGAGATTTGAATAGAACTGAAAACTCATGAGCGGGAAAGAGAAAAAAGTCCAGTAATATCGAAAGACAAAGATGAACTGATTGATAGGCAGAAAACCGTTTGGGACCCATTTTTCAATTTAAAAAAATTGCCCTGTATGACCTGACAACATCGGGAGTATTGTAAGACAAACGGTCCTCGTGGAATATAAGTGATCTGTGATTATTGGTTAATGTTCTAAGGGGGAAAGTTGAGAAAGGGGAAAAGTAGTGAAAATTTATACCATTTTTGTCTTGGTTCGCCCGGGCCATGGGGTCAGTCGATCCGACCTTGTGACTTTATTGGCGGCTTTCTGATAACAATCCGCCCATCGGTTTTTTCTTAACGATAAAATAATGATATTCCGTCTAGTAACGCTGTTCTTGCTTAGCGTGAACGTTTTGGCACATGTCAAACGTAACTAAAACAATTATACTTATTGGCTTAGTTTCCCATGGCGTGCTTTTCAATTAAATACTTTGGTTTTTTTAGCCGCATTTAGACCAGTAGTTCTCTGGCATGGGTTAGGCGACTCGTGCTGTAACCCAGATAGCATGGGGTATATCCAAGAACTCATTAAGAGTTCTCTTCCGGGTGTATACGTTCATTCTATTAAGATTGGTAAGGATGAGGAAGCGGACAAGAAGGCGGGCTTTTTTGGCAATGCTAATAACGAGGTATAATGATTCGGAGTTTTGGGAATTTTGAAAAATACTAGCAAGCAGTTCGGGTAAACAATAGTGTTTGAACGCCGTGGTTTATTAGGTGGCGGACGTGTGCAAGAAATTAAAAGCGGACGAAAATCTTCAACAGGGTTTTAATGCTATTGGGTTCTCGCAGGTATAGTATTTGATTCTAATTCTCATATTTGAATATACGAGCAAGTGTCTAAATTGATTTCGTGTCATCCAGGGTGGACAATTCCTACGGTAAGCAATGCCACGACATTAATACCCGCATATTATCAGGTTTTAAGCTATATATTATCCAATCATTAGTGCATATGTGGAGCGTTGTAACGATCCGCCTGTATACAATCTCGTTACGTTTGGCTCGCAACATCAAGGTGATTTGCTATGCTGTCGTGCATGCTTGCTCTTCACTCTAGTGCGCGTTTCCTCCAACCTTTTCTCTTTCATATTCCACAATTTTCTCCTCCTTCTCTCTCCCCTTACCTTTAGGCATCGCTGATATCCCAAAATGCAAAGACGGCGACTTTTTATGTACCTTGATGCGATCTATTGCAGCTCGTGGTGCATACTCTGGCTACGTCCGCGAACGTATAATTCCTGCTCAATATTACAAAGATCCTTTTCGATTAGAGTTATATAAAGAGCGGAGCATATTCCTACCCGATATAAACAATGAATTGGAAGAAAAGAATCCGTTATACAAGACGAACCTGGCAAGTTTGAATTTGTTCGTAATGATCAAGTTTACTGAAGAGACTACTGTTGAGCCTCCAGAGTCATCGGTGAGTTGCTGGGAGTGACGTAGAGAGTGCAGATGATGATTGTGTTTGAAGCTTGGAGTTTGAAGCTGAATGTGAATGATTTCTACATTCTAGTGGTTCGGATACTATAATGAAGACGGAGAAATTTTATCGTTGTTTGACATGCCAATATATCAAGAAGACTGGTTAGGTCTGCGTCAGCTGAACGAGACAAACAGACTGGTTTTCCTAGAATGTGAAGGCAAACACGTAAGTATTAATTGATGCGATATACGAATCACATGATTATTTCAAAAGCTCACAATCATACCATTTAATTTACGACACAGATGCACCTTGAAGAAGACTACTTTTCCGAAATCGTTAAATCATATCTTAGTGAGCCTTTCGGAAGTTATCTTACTATTCAGAATTAATTATATTAATAAAATATGTTTATCATACCTAAATTTGACATGCGATCAGAGTGTGACCAGATGAATACCTTGTTTTTTTATGCATGCCATGCAAGTAGAAAATAGACCTGCTATACCTGCTATCGTCCCTGTTTCATCACTAATGGTAAAGATCTTCATAGTCTAACCCCTGCAAACCTAATGTTCCAGGGATTTAGAGATCGAAGGGGATGATAGTGTGACAAGTCTCAACTTTTGTTTCGAAAGCTCTAACACGTGCACTCAACCATAGATCCAAGAAAATTTTTTTATCAAGAACAATTAGCTAATGCTGTGTGTGTGCCTTTCCCGCAACTCCTTTTCAGCACAACAACGTGCTATCGATATTCCGATTGGCCAATGATTTAACGTTAGCACATAAGAGTGAATTAATGACGCTTTACCGTTACATACCCGTTACATGCCATTACCTTATTAAGCACATTCTCACAATTTGATATTGTTTGTCATTGTATGCAGATCCATGGCCAATGATAATTGATATGTCAAAAATCGAATATTTGGGGTTAATACTAATTATAATACCAATACTAATACTAACTCGATAATACCAATTGTCCCGTCCCGCACTATTTACATAATCAGTATATCCATCTTTGGTAAGGCATAACTTGTATTTACCAACATTATAATAGGAGCATCATAGATAATATATGGATCGCTCAGACTTTTCATCGACAAAAAAGATCTGAAACCATTATATGACTAAATTAGATCATTAGACAAATAGAATTCCGTAACAAGCGGTTTAACTTTACAATAACCAAGAAATAATACAACTATTGTGCAAAAGACAATAAGATTTACAAATACACAAAAAAATTTTTTTTTTGCTTGCAATACCGTTTCAACTCTTTGGTAACGTTTTGCTTTTTAAAAATGCTTGAAACAACAGCTTACGAAATCTCTTGGCAAGGATGATGCCGTAACCGAACGACCTTGACATAACGCTTCGATTACTTAATAGTGCTAACAGACTGTTGTGGCGTTCGTTATTACCAAAACGAGTAGTTAGTATGTATTTATTTACGGGCGTCAGTCTCATGACGACAATAAAAAAGTCGGAAATGGAATCTCTAACAAAGCAAGCGTTTTTGAAACAAGGGCATGGGCAGAACAGACCCTAAATTGTATGAACTGCTTAAATAGCTTGATAAGGCTGATGTTACGGGGTTTGATAAATAAATTTTTGGTTTGTTTGTCGAGTCATGGGAATGTGAGATATGCTCGACGTACCGTCCTTATAATCCAAAGTTGGATATTCACTCTTTGCACGTCCCATTATTAGAACACTTGCATGAACGTAATAATGATGATGCTTGTTCATTTTACACATGAAATCTTTGTTGGTATATTTGATTTACTGGTTTTGTCGCAGCAGCCTAAATCAACTTGCATGCTACACTAAGCCAAACTTGTTTCCTCCTTTTCAACAGTTGTCAAAAATAAACTCAAAAGCCACATATTTACTATATCGAGCTTGATGTGCCTGACGGCTGCATAGTAACGCAACATTATTATGATAGCTGCATGGTCTTGCATTGACAATATTTTCGTCATTGGCGCTTCAGCTTTGAGCGTAAAAAAAAAAGTTTCAGGCTGCCCAACAATTGACTATAAATACAGATTATGAGCGGGTAAACACCACACATTTCAATTCCATACCTTTTTTTTTTCTTGTCTCTCTATAAATATTTATAATGCCTCCAAAAACGTTAAAATCAAAGACGATTGTAAAAGAAAAACCACAAGAAGTTGTAGAGCCGGTACCGGATAAGAATAATGATCGAATAGTATTAAATGTTGGTGGAAAAAAGGTAAGAAAAGTTTAAAGGATTATGCAATATTAACATAACATACATACGCTTGCCATGAATTAATAAATTCCTCTAATGTTAACCTTATCTGTATAACCAGTATGAAACATTCCGTAAAACTCTACTCCAATACCCGGATACTCTCCTCGGCACTATATTCCAAGACGGTAACAAAGACCAACTACCCCCCGTTACCAATGGCAACGAATACTTTCTCGATCGAGACGGCTACGCTTTCCGCTACATCATTCAATTCTATCGCCTAGGCAAAATCCTCTTTCCCACCGAGGAGAACCGCATCTCCCGTGAGGCATTACAAGCCGAAATCGATTACTTTATGCTACCAGTCGGCATAGACGATTTAGCCTTATCCAAGGCTGGCAAAAAGGCCATCTCCAAAGTCGATGAATTCATCCATGCGCTCGAACGCATATTCTACGAACTCGTCGAACATTTCGAGGGATCCGTGAAATTGGTCTTTTCAGAACCAGACGAATTGGAAATAGAGGGCGTGCAGAAACATCTCGTGGCGAAATTGAAGGATATACTGAATCCGTTTCAGAGTTATGCCATGTTCATTCTCGCCCGGTGTGGAAAGGAAGTCGGTGTTTATTTAAGAGAGAACGTGCCAGAGTTGAGTTGGCAGATGGAGTTTAAGCAGGACAAGACTCAGAGCAAGCAGGTTTATGAAATACATATGGACGTGCAGAGGAATCTGTTGGATGGTGCTATATTTAAGCATTCGTTACTCGGAAAGGCCACGGCAGTCGCACAGTGATGGGTTGGGAAGTTTGTGTGTGGAAAATTAGCGATGGAGAGAGAAAAGAAAAAGTGTATAATAGGGTGGGATTGTGTGTAATGGTACGATACGGTACGGGATTTATACGTGCGTGATAAAGAAAAGTTCGATTTGATTGTCACTTGCATCAGGCTTGAATTGAAGCATCTCTAGCAAACGATCGAATCGGCTTCTCCTGACAGTGACAACGATTATCTCCTTTCCAACAAGAGAAGCATGCATGAACTGATGAATCATAACGAGTGTTTATTATTATAATACAAATATTATTATACCACATGGAAACATTGGTTTATCGGCAATTGTCTTGCTCCCTCCCGAACGAGTGACTAGAAGCTCAGTTCGTGATTGTAGCTTTTCCCAACCAATAGAAGGTGTCCTCCTGTGATAGGGTTTTCCAACATGCATGCATGCATGCCTTCTTTTTTCTAGATCGATAGATTGAGTGTTAGATTACATTACATTTTCATTTTTATACCATGAAATATAAAATAAACTTGCGAGAAGAATCACCTCATCTTTACTACAGCTTGGTATTTCCACTTGCAAGTCCCTCCCCTATATTATCTACCCAAAAAACTTTGTCACTTTTCCAGTCCATCGGTACGGTAACAGAGGATTATCTCTGACGTAGACTCCCCGACCACCAGCAGACTTGAGTCTAAGATTAGCCTCTTTGAAACCGCCACATACAGAAGCCCATCCTATACCCGAAAATACAATATCAGCGACGGCGACCTTTTTGGGTTTGCCGGTAAGCGGGAGAGAGTCGACTACGGTCGCAAGGGGTGGGAATGACTCTAACCTTTCCGGTGATCCAACAGGTGGTTGGAGGATGGTTTGTTGGCCTTGAGTTAGCTTTCGTGAAAAGACGTCGGCATGGTGTGTGGCTGTTATGTGAATGCGGGCGTTGGTGTATGTGGTGAGATATATAGGATGTGTTCCGGAGAGATAATCTATTCGACCGAGGCCACCGAAACACATTGATTGGCCTTTTTTAGCAAGAGAAGAGTAAAAAAAGATAATCCGTGAGACGAACGAAACGGACATAATCTCTCAATTTTACAATTTTCAATTTGGTTTACCGACCTTGATGTAATCGATACGTTACCGGATTAATTTCCATCCTCGGCTGTACCATATCCAACTCGTCCTTGTTCAACAGGTGCGTTAACGCGTTCTCGTTTACTATTCCAGGCGTGTCGAACAAATGCTGGTTGCTAACCCCACTTTGATCGTTCATCGAATACGGTCCAAGCTCATCCCCAAATACGCTCAGTGGCAATCCGTGCATGTTGACTGTTGTTCCCGGAACGATCGAACTGGTCACTCTGTGCTTCCAACCACTGACTGAACACTTTTTCAGTAGACTGTTGAGCAAAGCGGATTTCCCAACGTTGGTGCATCCAATAAGATATACGTTATCGTTGACTCTTCTATGTCTAGAAATCGTAAATGCTAGTTCGTCTATGTTCCAGTTCTTTTTGCTACTAACCAAATGAACCGAATCGATTGTCCCTAACTTGTGTCGCTGTATATTGTCTACTACCCATTGTTTCACACTAGGAAGAGACGGCACTAAATCTGCCTTGTTTGCCACTAATATATGAGGGTGTTGTCTTCCGACTAGATTATCAATGTCTTCAATTAAGCTTCCTGGAAAGTCAAACAGATCTATTACCGTCACCACCACTGCATTATTAATAGTCCTCAAAAACTTTAAAAAAGACTTGTCCGTCGTAAGAGTCTCTTGCCATTCCAATGTCTCTTTGTTGTGATGTACTAGATTGTAGCATCTCGTGCAAAGTAATCTGGTACTTTCTTTCTTCAACTCGGATGGTTTCACGAAATTCATTCCTAATGGATAGAGCAACTTCTTTGCGCTGTCATCAAGAGAATCGTATATTTTTAAAAATTGTTGTTGATCCGGTCTGCTGTCTAGTGGCGCCTTTGTTTGTCGCTCTTTTTTTTGATGATTTATTGATGGTATGTAGCCGGGAATAGATGTGTCAATACTTTGGAATTGTGCGCCGCAGCCTGGACAGTGCTGAACACTCGCTTCTGTGCTGGCCGATAAAGTAGTGTAACTTTTTTGAATGGTTGAGTGTAGAGAAGATATCGTGGGACGTCTGCAATAATATGAACGGCGTAGGCGTAATTGATCATGAGTTGGACATCTACCCAAGAATTGGCGTAAAACAAAAGATCTTACAAGACCTCTCGTTCTTAAGCTCGTCATTGGCATCGACAAAAATTTAATTCACGCCATGGTCTTTACGAAATTCGATCATATTGTAAGATCTGTTATATGCCGGTGATTGGTTTCATGTGACACACCATGTTCATGTTTATCACTATGGCGTGTGTTGTTTGCTTACTGACAAAGTAATTTAAACTTTCAACTCCCGTGACTTCCGAACGTCCGAATTATGTGTAATATTAATATTAATATTAAAGCTAGACCTGCGGATTGTGTCAACATTTAACTCTCTTTATAACGACCGCGCGCGCGTGTGCGTTACATTAATATATTACTGTACATGTACTACGCTGTATATAACACCACTGCATATAACGACCGATTTTACCAGTGCGGTTACGGTAACGTGAGTGACCAAAATCAAATATAGCGGTAAAGCGTATGCAAAACTTTTCTTCTGTATTTCACGCAGGATTTGGTAATACTAATGAGCTATAGCGTTAAACTCGTTTACAGCAGCATCAACTTAATTCAAATTCTGCACGGACGTTCGTCATTGCATTGCGCACGACAATTACTTCAAATCGAATAAAGACGAGTATAGTGAAGAGACATGATTTCATAATTTAGTAGCAATTCACGTACACGTAATTGTAAACGACAGACATGCAAATGCTATAATAAAAAGGATTTTATTTGTAATGGCAAAAAAAAAATTATATTATGTAGCATGTGAGCACAAATCATTATTATCAAGATGTCTAATCGACGATTTGCTATAAACTTCACCACTACTTATACATCATCGGAAAGTATTACATTCATGTCATTTCTCTCATTCTCATCGCCAGAGTTCTTACGGTAATCTTATTGGCTTGATATTCTTGATATAAAATTTCATTGTTTCAATAATGTTCTAAACTGTGTGGTGGTTGGTATTCTCCGGATAAATTTAATAAATTTCTTTCGATCTGTTCAAGTGGTGGTCGATTTTCATAATCATTTACTATTCACTGACATACTGCTACAAATACAAAGTATGGTGAAATCAATAAATAAACTTTTATGTAAAAACGGATAAAAAAATAAACTTGTTTTACCTCCATTATTACAAAATGGGAAAACGTCAATACGATTAATGGAAACAATCCTTTATCAACTGCTATTT